CTGAGTTTAAATCCTTGTTACCTCTCATTAGAGGTGTTTCCTTGGATGAGTTACTTAACCTTTCTGTGTCTCAATTTCCACATCTGTAAAATGGAGATACTAATACCTCAGAGTTTTGTTATGAGGATTTAAACTGTTAAGAAGAGTGCGTGGCACTTAATGCTATTCAAATATCTGTTAAATATTTTTATTGGTGATAGAGGACAGACTGTTTTTGTTTTCTTTAATAGATTTAAATGGTTTCCCACAGCCAGTATCCTAGCTTCCCAGAATATCAGACACAGGTTTGTTGTTGTTGTTTTTCCACTTAAAGGGGTAGCAAGTGCCTTCCTGGGCCAAAAGAAAAATATTTTTTCCTCCTAGCTTCCTACTGCCATTTCCCTACTTCTACACTTCTGCCTCAGTGTCTTACAGGAACCCTGGTCAGCCTTCTTTGCTCAGCCTCAGCAGAAGTCATAGACTTTCACTATCACTTTAAAAATAGTGTAGGTTACCTTTTTCCTTGGTGGAATTTAGCTGATTGAAGCATAAGACAGGCATGAACACTCTGGAGATGTGGCTTTGAATCTTTCCATTTGTTCTCTTTGGCATTGACTTTTGCTTGTCCAGGCTCTGCTAGTGTGGTGGATCTTATTCCCAGACAGACACGAGCCCTGAGCCAAGGAGTCAGCTTCTGAACCTGGCCAATAATTGGTATTTTCTCTCCCAGAGTTCTAACAATGAACGTATTTCATCCAAAAATGTGACCATTACAGAGGTTCTAGGAATGCTAGCTATTATCTGTATTTTGGCCTTCAGTGTATCCCTGACTACACTCATTCTTAAAATGTATTTCTTTTCTTTTTCTTTTAAGATTTTATTTATTTGAGAGAGAGTGAGAGAGACAGAGAGAGAGCACGAGTGGAGGGGGGGAGAGGGAGAAGCCGACTCCCCGCTAAGCAGGGAGCCTGATGCAGGGCTTGATCCCAGGACCCTGGGATCATACCTGAGCTGAAGGCAGATGCTTAACCGGCTGAGCCACCCAGGCACCCCAAAGTGTATTTTTCCTTCAGATATTTGGGTTTCTTGCTGTGGTCAGTAGTAAGCCTTTCTTCTGGTTTGTTGTTCTTCTGTAGCCCCACTGAAGCTTTTCTAGTGCTTCAGTCATCTGTGCACTACTTCTGAACTGGCCATTATTGTAGCCTTCAGTTCTACTGAAGCTTATTTTGTGACTTTGACATATTGTGTCTATTATGTATGGAAAAGTGGCAGGATCAGTGTAAAGAAGAGGGTAACATCTCTTAAAACAGTCAGCATATGAACTCCTCTTCTACATTGGTCAGACTTTCTGTCAACTCATTATCAGTGGAAAAGATGCTGCTCTTTAAGCCACCATGAAAGTCAAACTAGTTTTAAGCCTTTTGGAAAAAGAGGTACATGTTAGGAAATCCTGAATGATGATGAGTCAGTCTAACTGATCCCAGATTGACTCTCTTTTCTACCACTGGCCAAATCCTGCCTCTAACCTTCCATGGTGCACAGCCTTAGACATGCTTCTGTATCACAGGACTTTGTCCCCCAAATGCATTTGCTACTTAACTTCAGGTAGATTTCCTAGGAAAGACTGACACTGGGTCTTGCTCTTTGCCAGCCCTCCTGCCAAATGAGGGGGTAGGACTCCCAGTACTCTGTGCTCTATTTCTGGAGGCAGGAACAGGAACGCATTTGACAAGTAGACTTGTTAGTATTGTGTTCAGGACTCCATAAACACAAATTTTTAAGTCTACAGTGGGATGCCTTGTACCACAAGATGTCCTCAGTCCTGAATCATCTGAGCTCGCTTAGTATATAAAAACCCATCCCAGCTCTCTTCTATCTAAACCGTTGGGAATAGAGGAGAGTGATTTCCTTTGGAAGGGCACGTTGATAGTTCCATCTCATTCTGGTCTTTGATTAATTACGACCTATGACAGGGTTACTACTCTAGCAGGAACTTTGAATTTCCTGAATAGATTTCTCTCTGGTTAGTAGGCAGAGGAAATAATTGACTTTTTTCACTTTCCTGGGGGTGGTCTGGGTACTGTCTCATTGCTTTGTCGTCTGCTGACTTCTTCCCTGATCTCTGTTCAGTATGATAACAAATAGCAAAGCTGAAAACTGGAGGGCTGTGTATACACTTACAGGTAGGTGCCCCAGAAAGCCAGTTGCTAGTGAAGCGGACTAATGTTCTTTCTAGGAATTGCTTTCATTGAGAAAGAGAACAGGGGAAGGTAGAACATAGTGAAAGATCGAGCGTTCCTAAACTTAGATTCCTGAATCAACCGTGTATAGTTTCATGGGAAGACAGAATAAGGAGCAGCTATCCCAAAGGTTTTTACCATTTCAGATATCCAAGATCTCTGTTCTAGAGAGTTTCTACTTGATGGTAAAATAAAGTTTTGACCTTATGTATATCAAATCTCAGACTGGCCATGCATTTGTCTCTAACACCAATCTACTTCAAATGGTAGATATCAATTTCATGGACATGTGATGGTACTGATTTAGCAGAAAGTGCTCTGAACTTGGAGACGGAAATACTGAGTTAAATCCAAATCCCAGCTTCCCTTCTTTCTAACATTGTAACTTTGAATTAGACTTTGAATCACTGTTTCTCAATCAGTCTAAGGGGACAATAAAGTCTTCCTCACAGGAGTGTTGTGAGGATTGAATGGAATAATGTATGTGAAAATGCAAGCACAATGCTTTCTTATAAAGTGGGAAGTTTTTCTTACTGTGTGGGGAGGTATTTATCCATCAGTATTGTGAATGTAATTGTTCCAAATTGTGTAGATGACCATTAATTCCTCTTACAATTAATGTTTTAAAACAATAAAACTACAATGCTTGTAAAATGGAATAGTAAGCTCATACACTTTGCTGGTGATAGGATTTCATATGTGTAAGCTATGATCTCATATGTCTAAACTCCTGAAGAATCTGTTGCAGTCTGGCAACTTTGCTGTTTCACCAGTCATTCTGAATCTGGAGAGCTTAATGAGAATTGGGAGTAAGCGTGCTCACAAGGTTGGGAGTCATTTTTGTACAAAGTACAGGATAATTTTTTGGTAAAACATTGCATTTTGGTAAAAACAGATTCTGAGAACACACTGAGTGGAGAGTGACATCATAATTGTGCTGAGAACAAGAAGCCTGGTAGGAAACTTGGTGACCATGTGCCTCCATGTACGCTGGAACTAGGTGCAGCCCTCATGAGTTAAAAGGAAAAGTTTGCTCATGGAGAAACTTGTTGTTTCATTGTGTGGCACATCTAAATAAAAACCCAATGAGAGCAACATAGAGGGAGGAGTATATAAACAAGAGAAAGTGGGCATTGTTTTCTTTCAGTCTGACAGTTCCTGGATCTTCCTAAACCTGTAGTCCTGTTTCTTCTAGTCCCCTTGTCCTCCTGCTTCTGCTTATTATTACCCAAATGCCTATCTTGAGTTGAGGCTCTTTTCGTGCTGTGCTCAGAGATGTGTGTGACAGCAGATGCTTTTCTGATCTAGGTTCTATGGCTCTCACCTAACTGGTTGCCGTCATTTGTTTCTCCCTTTTTGGCTTTTGATGTACCCAGGTGTGCTGGTGAAATCTCTTTAGAACAAACTCCATGGATAGATATAACCTTAGGAGCTCATTGTTAGTAAAATCTACTTTTTCTGGCCTGAGGGCTAAATGTGACGACAGATGGGAGATGCAGTCTGTGGCGGCGGGAAGGGCAGGAACCGATGCTGACTCTGGGCCTGTGTCTGTGAGCTGGGGTTGCTGCCAGCTCTCCTGCGTCTGGGGCTTGGGGGGGCTCCCCAGTTCACAGCACTTGAATTCAAGTCCCTTTTGTTAACCTGTGGAATTTATCGGTTGGTGCAGTGAACAAGGTTCCTAAACTGCCTGCCCAGTGCACTGAAGAAAACAGTCCTCCAGTGTTGTGCCACCCTAAACTATAGCTTGTGATTTTTGCTTATTGCCTCTTTAGTCTTTGTCCACCCACAGGCGTGTTTTTATATAGTTGCAGTCCCTTTATATATTCCTTTTTCTCCATGCATGGCCATAAACATTGTCCATATATATATATATTCATAGGGCTCACAAACTATAGCATAAGAGCTGTGTAATTTGATACATCACAGGTTCCCCCTTTTGTTCCTTACTAAGGTGGTATCTCCTTTCTTGGTGGTTTTTGTTTGTTCTTGTTTTTTGTTACGGAAAACATCAAAATGAACATCATTTGTAGTGTTATTTTCCAAGAGAGATTTCCAGGAGCTAGATACTAGGGTATGAGCCTTTTTAATGGCTCTTGCTTTCTAATGTCATATTTAGTTTTCCAGAGGAGCAGTGCCTTTACAGTGCTTACCAGTATGTCCACAAACCCCTTTAAAGGCTTTTAAATGTTTAGCGCAGGACATGTCTTTGCTTTTAGCTAGGTCTTTTCTTATTGTGAAGGAAGGACCAAGCAGGGTTTATAAGCCCTATCTAGAAGTGACTAGCTTTTCCTAGTTAAAGCTAGCAGGAAACATCTACTGTGTTGTTGGGCTGTTCACTGCACAGAGCCACCAAATGCATTTTTTTGTGTGAATTGTTTTTACCTTTTCACATCAGATTTGAATGCTCAGTTTGGAGCTTTCATCGTCATAGTTTTTGCTGGTAGAATGTTGTAGAAACAGTGGGCTTGCTGTATATTCGTAGTCACTTGAAAAAAAAACTCCTGGTATGTTTAGAATGACCACGTTTCTCTATTTGGTTCCTTTGCTCCTTCGAAAAAATAAAAACATCAAACAAGATAAAGTCCAGTTGCCAAGAGCCTCCGCTTGAACCTTCTGTCAGGACTGTTTATTTAAAGCATTGTAAGTTTCCATGGTTTCATGTTATCTTAAGCTATCTTGTGAGTTGATCTTGTGAAATAAACCCTTGTGGTCCTTAAATCTGGGCTGACTCTATGTGTCTTTTTTTCTTTTGTTTTCTTTTTTTTTTTTTTTTTTACAGTGAACATAAAGATTCTGAAAAGAAACACAAAGAGAAGGAGAAAACCAAACACAAAGATGGAAGTTCAGAAAAGCATAAAGACAAACACAAAGACAGAGACAAGGAAAAACGAAAGGAGGAAAAGGTACAGAACTTTCCATTGGGAAGGAAGGGCTGTGGGTTGTACTTTTCATTTTCTTTATCTTTAAAAGCAGGTAATGAAAGTACCCTCACTGCACAGTAAGATCCCTTGGCCTTTGAGTGAAAAGGTCTCTGTCAGGAGACTTAAGCATCAGTCACAGTCTTAAACTATGAAAACCAAAGCCCTTTACTACTGAATTTTACAGGACCAGATCTATCCATATCATTATCTTACTTTAAATGGCAAATAGGTAAATTAAGAATGTAGGGTTTCTGGAAATGCCAGTGTTCTTTCATGGGGAAAATTCTGGTTTTGGGAGAAGGCCTAGGGCCATGTTGGCCTTCTGTTGAATGAGGTCCTTCCTGAGTGAAAACTCAGTGATGCTGGTGCTTTTGTGGCTTTTGGTTCCAGTATCACTAGTATAAGCCTTCTCAAAATCTCTAGGTTCATCTGGCTACAAATGAGGGGTATGGTGTATAGACTTTAAAAAAAAATCATTTTGGGGTGCCTGGGTGGCTCAGTCAGTTAAGCAACTGCCTTCGGCTCAGGTCATGATGCCAGGATCCTGGGATCGAGCCCCACATCGGGCTCCCTGCTCAGCAGGGGGGCCTGCTTCTCCCTCTCCCTCTGCCGCTCCCTCTGCCTGTGCTCTCCTGCTCTCTATCAAATAAATAAATAAAATCATTAAAAAAATAAAAAATATAAAAAATCGTTTTGGGGCACATGGCTGGCTCAGTCAGAAGAGCCTGTGTGATTCTTGATCTCAGGGTCGTGAGTTTGAGCCCCATGTTGGGTGTGGAGATTGTTTACATAAATAAAAAACTTAAAAAAATGTTTTTATTTTAGTTTTTGAGAAAGTAATTTTGGTACTTGGTAAATTCAGGCAATATGAAATAGGGAATGTAATAAAAATTACACCTTCCTTGGGGTGCCTGGGTGGCTCAGTCAGTTAAGCATCTGACTCTTGATCTCAGCTCGGGTCTTGATCTCAGGGTCAGGAGTTAAAAAAGAAAAGAAAATTACACCTTCCTTTCACCCCTTGCTCATTGCCCTTTCTCTTTCTGGAGGCAGCCACTATATCCACTATTTTTTTGTATTCTTCCAGAGATACCATATTTGTGTGTGCACGTGTGTGAGTGCATGTGCATATATATGTGTTTGTATCCTTTTGTATGTCTGAAGAGTTTTGAAAGACCATGTGTGTCTGGGAAAGGAGGGGGAATGTGAATATACTTTGCCTAAATCAGAGAAGGCAGGAAACAGACTATTCCATTTTGTTTTTTATTTTCTCTGCACTGCCAAGGGCAAATACTTGAGAGAGAGAGTATATTTATTGAGGGAGGGGGACCTGCCATCATTTAAAGGTAAAAAGCTGCCATTTTGAGGGGAAACATTTCTCAGTAAATTGGATAATTCACCCTGAAGAACTGTAAAAAACGAGTCTTAGGAAAATGTCAAGACCTTTGCTTACCCTGCTCAGTTTTGCTAAAAGTAAGAGTGAGTCTGCAGTCAAGATGCTCCAAGAATTGAAGCCAAATGTTCTCAAATAAGAGAAAGGCTTTTTCAGATTTAGTCCCTTCAAGGTACTAATCAGTTACTATTCTTTTCAGGTTAGAGCCTCTGGGGATGCAAAAATAAAAAAGGAGAAGGAAAATGGCTTCTCTAGGTAAGATTCTATTGCTGCCGGGCTGCTCTTCCTCTCGACCAGCTGTGCGTGTGGTCGTGTCACCTGAACTTACCCAGAATGTCCTGACCAGGCCCCCGCTGGGTTTCCAGGGAGCTTGGCAGTGAGAGGACTTGGTCTAAGCTAATTTGAGCATCTCTGAAGTGTCATTTAGTGAAACTGACCAGTACGTTTTCCAGAAGGCTATTTTGAGTGGGGAAGAAATTTCTAAAAATTCAGATACAATTTACATACCAGAAATTTCACCCTTTAAAAGTGTATAGTTTATTGGTTTTTAGTGAATTCACAAGGTTGTACAACCTCCCCTACCCCACTATCTTAATTTCAGAACATTTTCATCTCCCCCAAAAGAAACATCATACTCAGTCAGTAGTAAGTATGGAGTTTACCGGAAAACCCTACTCTGAATTCCTCCTTAGTAATACAGTAGTCTTCCCCCCATTTGCGCCCCCCCCAACTTAATCCACAGTTTTGCTTTCTGTGGTTTCATTTAGCCATGGTCAACCACGGTCAGGAAGTAGGTGATGCTCCTGACATTGTCAGAAGGTCAGTAGTAGCCTAATGCTATGCCACAACGCCTGTGTCATTCACCTCACTTCATCTCATCACGTAGGCATTTATCACACATCACAAGAAGAAGGGTGAGTACGGTACAATAAGATATTTTGAGTGAGAAAGAGACCATGTTCTCATAAATTTTATTACAGTGTATTATAATTGCTCTGTTTTTATTACTATTAATTTCTTGCTGTGCCTGATTTATAAATTAAACTTTACCATAAGTATGTATGTATAGGAGTGATTATGATGTACATACAGGGTTCAGTACTTCCCATAGTTTCAGGCATTCACTGGAGGTCTTGGAATATATGCCCTCTGGAAAAAGGTGGACTACTGTATTCTGAGGCTCATCTATAACTATAGAAGCTTAGTTGGTCTGCATTTGAAGGATAAGTGTAGAGTTGAGTAGGAATGCGTTATCTCTTTTCAAGAAGAGGAAAATGCATACAGTCTAGAGGTCAGTTTTTCTGTACTATTTTTGCCATTTTGATTGTTTTCCTCATCTGCCTCAGCTCCCTAAAAAGACCCTCCAGTTTCAAAAAATAAGTTTATGATCATATATTCTCACTTGCTGCATTGAATGACAGAATGGATTTCCTAGGAGTTGTTGGAACAGTTTGCACATTGACTAGAACAAAGTGTTGGGGAGTTTTGCTTCCTTGAAACTCTGAACTTTCAATTTCATTTGGGAACATTTTTGAAAATTCTGCCATGTTCTCTGAGTCCCTTGACTAGAAGTAGGTGCCCTCTTCAGGCATATTTTGTAACTGTTACAGGAATGTGGAATAATAATTCAAGAAGCATTAGAGCTGAAAACTACCCTAGATGTTCTGATTTCTTAGATAAAGTGAGTACTGGGTGGCTATTTCCTGCCAAGAGACCACCTAGGACTTTTATAAACTAACACTAAGGTATAAATAGACTCTGGACTTGGTGTGTAGTCCAGGATTCAGTTTCAGACTTTCCATGTTAGAAGATTAGGAACACAGTCTTGTAGGCAGGTCTCTATATTCACCTTGCTGGGCTTCTTGCTGGCTTACATGTTTGTCTTTGTAGACAATCCAAATGCTTTCCTGGGTGGAACACAGTTTTCTGATAAATTGTTTCAGAAGTTCTTCCTTCAGCCCTAGTAACCCTTCCCACATGTTGTTAACTTCACCCATGACAGTACTAGGATCTAGCATTTACTTAACTAGTTGGGTCAGTGGCAATGTTTTTTCCTTTTGGTGCAAAGCGTTTGGAGATACTGGACTCTTGATGCTATGTTAGTGATTTCCATGGTGAGGGGAAGCAGATATAGAGATTGGCATTTGAGGAATGTGCAGAAACAAGGAAGAAAAGCTAATCTCTTTAAACATTCAGATTCTGTGTCAAGCAAAGGGATCCAGTATGCTTGGAGAGTTTGGGGTGTGGTAGCATTGAAACCCCACGAATATCTTGACTGTCCTTGGCAGCTGAATCTGGATGCTTATCCCTTGGACCCTTTAGAGATGGATGATTTCATGTTGGGAGGCATTCTCTGTACTGAGTTACTTAGCTGCATAGGTGCTTCTGGCCATGAACAGTGAGGTTCTGCCTAGATGTGTCAGGCCAGGGAACATCCCAAGGCTGTGGTGATTGCTGGTCTCATGGGTTCCCCCCCACTTGTTCCTTCCTCTTTCTGGTTCAAAATAGTTGTCTAACAGAACCATCTTTTTATATATTCAGAAGGCAAAAAGTCTTAAAAATAGAGCAAGGCACTCTTCTGTGTATAACCTAAGTAAACCAAGGGAGGAACTTGAACAATGACTGGATTTGGTTTGGAATGGCTTCAGTTTGTTCATGGCCTCTTCTCTCATTTAGCACATTCCCTTCTTTTGTTGTAATGTCAGCTTAGTTATTTTCCCATGTAACTAAGGTTAGTTTCCATTAGAACTTTAAGGTTCTTGGGAAATAAATTTTTATTCCCTTCCTTGTAAAATTATATTTAGCTTTTGGGGTACTAGAATAATCAGTTTGGATCATTCAAGGATTTAGATATATAGTAGATCTCTCCTGCAAGGTGAGGGAACAATTAAGTTTGTTCCTGTTGTGGTTTGGGTCATGCTGACAAAGGCAGCTAAGATGCAGTAGAAAAGAATACTGACTTAGATTAAGGAATCCTGATCCCCGATCTTGATATTGCCTGTTCATCTGTAAAGTGAGGACAGTACTATCTACTTCACAGGGTTGTAGTGAGATACTAAGTGAAAAGAAGTGCTTACAGAAAACTTTAACAATAAGTACAAATGCATGTTGTTAATCCTTATCTTAGCTACTTCTCAGTGAGATGATTTATTCCTACTTCAGATTATTTAAAATAATATAGACATTCCCAAACTCATTAGTTTTTTTCCCTCTTTAGTCCACCACGAATTAAAGATGAACCTGAAGATGATGGCTATTTTGCTCCTCCTAAAGAGGATATAAAGCCGTTAAAGAGGCCTCGAGAAGAGGATGAGTGAGTATTTTTTATTTGATTTTTGAAAACAAAAAGGATTTGTTTAAAGAATAAATGGGATCTAGGTCTCTCCATTACACAGAAAAACTGCATTAATTGACTTTAGTCATCTGGAATTTGTGATTAATGGACTGGGCAACTTATTTATCTTTGAATTATGAGATGCAGGGTTTGCTAAACAAATAAGTAGTGTGAGGCTTAGCTGGAGAATATATATTTTTATTATTTTTTCATATTTAAAAGGTAATGCCTGTTTATTATAGGAATTTCCAATAATACAGAATTCATAAAGAATATTTAAATTATTTAAGTTGCTTTTAATTTATCACCTACCACAGATAATTTTTCACTGTTAAAGCAATTTTTCCTAGGATCTGTGCCTGTCAGTGAATTCTAAGTGATGTTTCTGTATATAGAGATAATAAAATTGCTCTTAAAATAGTTATTTGAGGCTTATGTGTACCTCTTTCTGAGATTCCGTGAGGTTAAGTTCTATTCCTTATGTTCAGTCTTGTATAGCTTATTATGCTTCAGGAATCTACAGAGGATTTGTGGTAGAAAGTGGATGGGAAGGGAGGAGAGAACTACTTGGTGAACTCATTTGTACTCATTTAGAATGCATACAGTATTTCTTTCCTCCCCTTTCCAGCCAGATGTTACCTTGTGGTAGCCATTGTTGCTGGGCATTTGGTTCCCAGACTTTCATCTTCTAGTGGTGTCTGTTTCCAGATAGCCCTCCATTCCCCTTCTCTTCCAGGCCTGTGTGTAGTATAAATTGTTTGTTTTGTTCTGTGTAGGACTGTAACTGTTGGTCCTTGGTCAGGCCTTCTTTCTCCATTCCTGTTCTGACTGTAGAATGTCCAGCTAAGAATAGTCATACCTGCATTCGAAGCCTCCAAGAGGAGTTTGGAGGTCCTGATCCTGTTGGTGAGAACTACTGTGTCAAAGTTGTGTTAATTGCATATTCATGTTCCCCTTTGTAGTGCTGATTATAAACCTAAGAAAATTAAAACAGAAGATATCAAGAAAGAGAAGAAACGAAAACTGGAGGAAGAAGAGGTTAGTAAAGAGACTGTGGCCCTTGGAGGCTTGGGTTTGGAGTAGGGAGTTTTCCATAAACAACTTTTGAAGGCAGATGAGTTTTAGGGAATGTATCGGTCTGTGGTAGAGGAAACGCTGAGAAAAACTCGTAGATGTGTAGCGGTGGCCGTGGCCCTGTGAGTTTTAAGATCTCTCTTGGCCTTCCAGGGTGTCTACCCATAGCGCTGCTGCCAGCTGATGTTTTTGGAGAAACTGCACCATCTTCATACATGCAGAGGCAGTGTTAACAAGAACTTCCAGGCTTTCAACCTGGAAAAGTTTCCCCTAAGATTGTTTTTTAGCACTCTCATATTTAACAAAGCTTGCTCATCACTCACTTTGGGTAACTCTGTGTGTTTAAAGGCCTTTAATTGGGTGCCCCTTGGACATATGAAGAAAGCCAAGCTCTTTACCACAACTCCTCCCAGTCTGACCCCTGCATCTGGTACCTTCCTTCATCTTGTGCCTCTTCTCTAATTGAACTTGTTCCAGCCACACTGGCCTCCTTTGTTTCTTTTCCACACTGGATTCTTTTGTGCTTCAGAGCTTTATGTAGCACATGCTGTTCCCTCTGTCTGGAACACACATGCTCTTCCTCCCTTCTTCTGGCTTATCACCTTCCTTAAAATCTCAGCTCAACTCAAGTACTTATGGTTGTGGTAGATTTAAAAATACAATAATATGGTTCCTTTAGACATTTGGCATTTCTTGTACTAAAGAGTTGTTAGCAAGTGATTCAAGAGAAGGATGTCAGAAATTCACAGGAGTCTTAATCTTGCACTCTCCTAAGAGAAGGGGTTGAGTGAGTTCTTAGCTCTTACGCTGCATTTGTGGTTAGCCACAGTCATGGGCAAAATGGATTCACAAGTATTAAGTCAGTAGCTCGTCAAAGTATGAGCCGTAAAGATAGTGATAGGGAGCAGTGAGTTTTAAGAGTGTAATCTATTGTAGTAGTAGTAAGAATGATGACAATTAAAATTAAACGTAATAGATGCTTACCATGTGCCAAACACTATTAATGCTTTATATGACTCATTTCATTTAATCTTTACAACAGCCATTAAGAGGTAAACATTGCTACTATCTATTCTCTGCATTTTACAGATGCAGAAACTGAGGTATAGAGAGGCTGAGATCATTTGCCTGAAGTCACACAACTCCTAAGTAGTAAAGTCAGGATTTGATCCCATGCAGTCTGATTCCGGAACCAATGCACTAGCTACCATGTTATTCTGTCTCCTGTGTGACTTTGCTGATCCTTTAACTCCACAGGAAGGGAGAAGGGTCTTTAATGAAATCACATTAAGAATATTAAGGAAGGGGTGCCTGAGTGGCTCGGTCAGTTGAGTGTCTGCCTTCAGTTAGGGCCCTGGGATCGAGCCCCATATCAGCCTACCTGCTCAGCGGGGAGCCTGCTTCTCCCTCTCCTTCTGCTGTTCCCCCTGCTTGTGCTCTCTCACTCTCAAATAAATAAATAAAATCTTTAAAAAAATATATTAATGAGTAAGTGAGCCAGAGAGATGATCAGGTCCTAGATTTAGAGAACTGGTTTTTCTGACAACTAGTCTGTTCTTGGCAGTTCAAGTTTATGAGCACCAACTCAAGGAGTTAAGGGTAAAATGTTGAGTGATTGTGGTAGTCACTCCACTTTTATGTAGATGATCAATACAGACTAGTAGGTAAAGAAATGTAAAACTGTAGCTTTCCATGCTTTTCTATATTGCCTTTAGGCCTTCGTTGAGTTAATGGAAAATAATAACCTTTCTCTGAGTTTGGAAGGAGTTAGTAATAACTATTTTAAACGATTTGGAAAAAAGAACACTTGACTTTTTCTTTTTTTATTGTCCTTTTCAGCAGCCCTCTCCCTGCAGGGGAAAAAAAAATGCAGTCTGAAAGACTTAGAATTAATACACAGTCTTCTTAATGGCTGGGACCCCAGATGGCAGGAGCAGTCCTGAAACCTCACTCACTGGCTATGGTTTTTTTCATTTCTGGGAATTGTTCTGAAGTTTCTCAGTGACTGATTATCCCATTTTGAGGCTTGAAAACATACAATGTAGCCAGTAGTTTCCTGATGGAACCATCTGTATGCCTGTTCAGAAGCTGTTCAGAGAATGTCTTAACTGAAAAACATTTCCCTTTCCTGTGGTGTGTTTCAGGCAAAATAGTAAACATTATCTGAATTAATATGATCCTCTAGTACTTCTCCCCAAAATACTTATATATTGGTATTCTCCATTCCTATTTTAAAATATGTCTGGTATTGTAGTCTTTCCCTTCCTTCTACCCCAAAGATCATTTGCTTTAAAATCCTCAGTTTATCTTGATTGTTATCCTATCATATAGTCCTAGAATGTTTTATATTCCAGTCATTCCCATGAATCACACTATGATTTTTCTGGTAAACTTGGGCTCTCATCATGGTCAGTAGCAACTATATGACCTTGAACTATATGACCTTGAACAGGTGTTCAGAGTTTTCCTTAATTATAACTGGATATGTCAAATCAAACTGTCTATAAATTATAAAGGCCTTTCAAGCTCTGTCATTCTGTAATTGATTTTAGGATTACTCAAAGCCACTTTTCATGGCTTATAAAACTTGTTGAATAAAAAATGATCTTGGATAGTTAGACAAAGGAAGAATTTTTTTTTTTTTTTAAGATTTTATTTATTTGACACACACACAGTGAGAGAGGGAACACAAGCAGGGTGAGTGGGAGAGGGAGAAGCAGGCTTCCCGCTGAGCAGGGAACCCAATGTGGGGTTCGATCCCAGGACCCTGGGATCATGACCTGAGCCGAAGGCAGACGCTTAACGACTGAGCCACCCAGGTGCCCCGGAAAATATTCTTTAAAAGAGTTTAGATCCTGTGGAGCAGGACCTCCACTTGTTGAATAGCACATTTTTGTCTGGATGTGTGTGTTTTGAGATTTATCTCCTGTGTTACTGAATTATATTTGTTTATATTTGTGCCACAATGACAGCTCATGTGGGGTCATAGTTCAAAGAAGAGCCATTAAGAAATACTATCATAGGAATGGGGAATTATTTTAGTACCTCCTCAACACTTGTTTACTGCTTCCTGACTTTGTGTATGCAAGCAACCAGTGATAGAAAGTATTCCCCCACAGCCCCTCTCAGATTCAATCAGGAATTTCCTTTCAAATTCTATATTATTTAAATACAGGGTCTCCTATTCCCATTATTTGATGGTGTTCGAAGAGGTTTAAAGATGAGTAGATTTAAAAACAAGTGAGGATAACACCCTGGGATTACTTGCTGTAGCAGTGCTTTCCCAAACATTCCTCTGAGGCTAAAAAATATATATAATTTCCCAGGCTCTTGCCATGCAGAATGAGTGTTTTTAACTACTTTCTCAGGTAACCATTTGTTAGGGAGTTTTGGGAAATACGGCCCTAGAGAAAAAGACCAGTAAATTTTCACTCATCTATCAAATTTGAGAGCATTAGATTTTAAGAACCTCTCCAGTTTTAATATTCTGTGATTCCAGTTTTTATTCCTAATGGCCCCTCAAAACTACTTCTTAAATGTGGTCAGTACTTAAGTGCTTTCTCACCATGTTTCTTTGTAGGACGGTAAATTGAAAAAACCCAAGAATAAAGAGAAAGAGAAAGATAAAAAAGTTCCTGAGCCAGATAGCAAGAAAAAGAAGCCGAAGAAAGAAGAGGAGCAGAAGTGGAAATGGTAACATCACAGCACTGGGTTACAGTGTCAGCTCTCGGATTCCACAGCCTAATTAAGCAAGAGTGTTATTAGAATTTAATAGCCTGATCTTTAGAGGAGGAGGGAAGTACTTCAAAAAATCTCTCCAATAACAACATTCTGAAATAAGTTTTCCAGGTGCTAGTGAGAAGGCTAACTAGCTCTAAGCCTATTGGATCTAAAAACTAGGTCCCACCCTGTTGAACAGAATGAACTATGGAAGTGGACTCTGTGTGTAGGAATTTGGCATATGAAGAAAGTTGCATTTAAAATGGTAGGGAAAAGATGGATTATTTTATAAATCATGTTCAGGAAACTGCCTGTTTATTTAAAAAAATAACCTCCACAAGGAAATCTGGATGAATATTTTAAAATTGTAGAATAATGAAGACCTTTTGAGGCAGGACATATGACCAGAGCCATAGGAAAATATTTACAAAGTTGATATATCAAAATTAAAATGTTGTATGGCAAACAAATTCATGCCATTAAAAAAAGGGGGGGGAAATTTTTGCACTACAAAGGGCTAAGATTCTTAATGTGAAAAAAGGTCTTTTAAAAATGAACAGTCTTAGAAAAGTGATCAGTAAACAAAATATGGCCAAAGAAAAATGCTAAGAAAAAAATGAATGATAAATCTTTTTGTGTAATGTCTCTCAGATTAGGAAAACATTAATGAATATCAGGATATCTAGGGTTGTGATTGAGAAAACAGGTGTCCTCACTGGGAGTGAAGATTCAATCTTTATGGAGGAGAATAGCAATAGCAGGTTACTTTTGAGATGTGTGTGTCTATTAGGTGGGAAATTTTATTTTTTATTTAATAAATTTTGGTGTTTGGAATTTTGAAATTAAGTATTTTTAATACTGGTACTTCTTAAAACTTTGTATGATTTAAATTATACGTGATTTGTACTTGTGTTGAAAAGAGTCCAGTGATCCAGAGGTGTATTGTTAGACTACTACAGCTTTGAGGTAACCACTATTGATAGTTTGGTATGTAGATAGAGTTCCAGACCCATTTGTATGTAGTTACTCTGTGGCTCTTATAATTTAGAACAGTAATCTCCCCAGCACAGCATGCCTAAGGAAAAGGGAGAGATCAGTGACCAGGGAGGTGTCTGAGAGGAGCAGAGCTGCAATGGCAGAAATGCTCAACACAGCTGTGTAATTGGCATTGTTGATGTGAACACATATGGGGTTAAAATGAAAGTGTGGAAAAGGAAAATCACAGAGCAAAGGAATTCTGGGCCTTTCCAAAGTCAGAATCAGGAAACAAAAGGATACGTGTTTTTTTTTCTTCACTCTCTTTTTTTTCCATTGTTTTCTTTGGAACTAATCAAAGTTTTTCAGAGATAGAATATTCACCTTTAATAAAACAATTTTTTAGAGTTTTATTTATTTTTAGAGAGGAGGGAGAAAGAGAATCTGAGGCAGGCTCCCCACTGAGTGCGGAGCCGGACAAAAGGCTCCATCTCATGACCCCGAGGTCATAGCCTGAGCTGAAATCAAGAGTCAGACGCTCAACCAACTGAGCCACCCAGGCACCCCTAAAACAATTTTTGAAGATAAAATGAAATGCCTTTTTTTTTTTTTTTTAGAGAGAGGGAAGAGCAGAACCAGAAGGAGAGAGAGAATCTTAAGCAGGTTCCATGCCCAGCAAGGAGCCTGTCGTGGGGTTCCATCTCATGACCCTGAGATCATGACCTTGAGCCAAAAATCAAATGCTTAACTGACTGAGCCATGCAGGCACCCCAAAATAAAATGAAATGATTATGTAAATTAGGGGTTATTAGGAGTCCTGAGAATGGTGGGTTAGTAATTCATCAGTCTTTTATGTCTGTCAGGGTTCTATGGTGGGTGCTCAGTAAGTGTTTGTTGAATGAACAAAGATCATTTCCTTATCACTAGCTCCCTCCTGTCTTCCCCCTTCCTTTGTAGCCTTGGCTGTTGTTGGACCCTGAAGCAGATATACTCTTATCCTGGTCCAGCCTTGTGTGGAATTAGATACCCTGGAAGGGTCTAATAACCTAATTTTGCTTCTGCGGTTGAAATCCTTATCAGTGTTGCCACGTATTAATTCTGAGAGACCGTAACCTTTGATTTTTATTCTTATTTTGGTTTAAGTAGGATTGGTTAGTCTTTAACTGAAGATGATTGGTTTGGGGGTCAGCAGTCTTTTCTATAGCCTCCAATGCATGCTGTCCTCAAGTCTGATTGTTAAATTTTGTGCTTTCTTAAGCACATTGCTTGATGGCACACTCTAAGTTTTTATAAGTAGAGAACAAGAATGATGGACCTCTTAGCTGATAGCTTGCCCTTTCTTCCTGTCGTGGTAGGCTGCCTGCTGTATTCTGAAGTCAGTGGTCCAGTTCTCAGTGTGACTTCCATTGACAGCCTAGTCAGGGAGTTAAGTGGCAGATATTCTCATTTTTTTTTTTTATTATTCCTCTTGCTCTCCCACTAAAAGAGACATAACTTCATCACTTTGGCAAGGGTGCAGACCTTTTGCTTCCCCCCAAAGTCTGCAGATTGTTAATGTTGCCAAAAAGAAACCAGCAAAACTTTGATCTTGAGACTCTTCTTTGGTAACTGTGGAGAAGGGAAAATGGTTCAGATCCCCTCCGGGTTTCTTTATTGTATCACATTTTCCCTATAGAAACAATGTTATAAGTGGTGTTGGTATGCTCAGGCTTGGGAAAACTTAATTAACCGGGATCCCCTGTTTTTAAGGGTTACCCATTGTAGGTGTGTGGGGTTTCAGGTCTGCCTTGAGTTAAATACACTTGTGTCAGGGCTGACGTGTTGGAACAGAAGTCCCATGTTTATTCTTCACAAAAAGACCTAGAAACTGGGGAATTCGTTGTTGGTGTTAGGTGACTTTTAAATGGAGGTTTCAGTCTCTTTTAGCAAAGGCAAAATGCTGTAAGGAGTTGGGGTTATACCAGGACTCACAAATACAGTCAGTAATAGTGATAAGAAATTTATGGGATATGGATTGATACTCTTCTCAAACCAGAGAAACTGTCCTTGATTCTAGAGATTAGCTTCAGGAAAGCTGTAGTATGTGAGCTTTATTTCTGAATTTTAAAAATTAAATATGCATTTTACAGTGTACTGTGAGGTGCTTGTTAACTGCAAAGGAACTTGATTTCAGACAGCTTATGGATGCTTACCTTCCTGTCTTAAACACTTTTCTAGCACTTTTCCACCTTCCCCTTTTCAAGCATATTTTACTGTCAAATTAATAACTGCCTTGAATTCATAAGCCTGCCATAGAGAAGTCATTTCGGTGTCTAAGAATGTGTTTTTCTTAATTTTGTTGGTGAGCCATTGATGCAGGCCTAGAAGGGCAACACTACTGTTTTTATTGGTATAGTAATAGTTGTCGATACAATGATATCAGCCTCTTGAAGGATACTTTCTCTTTCGGTTTAAACTGAGTTTTAGTGTTGAGTGATTGAATCTCTTATTTTGCTTAAATGGTAAGTTACTGTGAGTCCTCAGGATGAACATGTTGGAATAGGAAGAATTATAAAAACAGCTTGGAGTCTTAATTAAAAAACCACTGGAGTTGATGAGAAGAATGGAACCAAGGGAAAACAGGGTGCTCTGCATCTGCCCAGTTATTCTGTGACTGTTTTACATAGGCTTCTTGTAGTACATACGTGCCTGCACACATCGTACATACATAGATACATACATACATACACGTGAATTTTCTCTGATTTGGAGAGTAATAGACTCTGGGATTTGGATGGGTACCTGCATCCAGGCCTTTCTATGCCAGTGTCTAGTTGGGAGATCCTGCCAGTTTCATATGTAGAGTGGTAGGTTGGTTACTGAGGATAATGCTCCTTCTAGGTTTAAGATTTTGTTAAATCTTGACTTGGAGGTGTTTTGTTTTGTTTTTTTTTTTAATTATTTTTAATTGTTGTAAAACATAATAACATAAAATTTACTATATTAACCATCTTTAAGCGTGCAGTTAAGTGTATTAAGTGCATTTGCATTGTTGTGTAACCCTTACCACTACCATCCATCTCCAGACCTCTATTCATCTTACAAAACAAACTGTTAAACAGCAACTCTCCCTCATTCCGCCTTTCCCCTGGACCCTGGTAACTACCCTTCTGCGTTTTGTCTCTATGAATTTGATTACTTTACATACCTCATGTAAGTGGAAATATACAATATGTGGCCTTCTGTGACTGGCTTATTTCACTTAAAAAAATGTCCTACAGGTTCATTGATGTGGCATGTGTCAGAATTTCCTTCTTTTCTAAGGCTGAATAATATTTCATTGTATGGAGAGACCACATTTTGTTTATCCATTCATCTGTTGATGGATACTTAGGTTGTTTCAACCTTTTAGCAATTGTGAAGAGTGCTGCTGTGAACATTGGAGAACAAGTATTTGTTTAATACCTGCTTTCAGTTGTTTTGGTTATATTCCTAGGAGTGAAATTGCTGGATCATGTGGTACTTCTGTGTTGCATTTTCAAGCAATTGTTCGCTGTACTGATTTCCACAGTGGCTGCACAGTTTACATTCTCACCAACGGTGCATAAGGGTTCTAATTCCTCCACATGGTTGTCAACACTTGTTATTTCCTGGTTTGTTTTTGCTTTTATAATAGTCATCCTAATAGGTGTGAGCAGTATCTCATAGCTTTGACTTTATATTTCTTAATGATTGGTGATGTTGAACATTTTTTTCAGATGCTAACTGGCCACTTGTCTATCTTTGGAGAAATGTGTATTCAAGTCCTTCGCTGGTTTTTAAAATTGGGTTGGTTGTTCTTTTGTGGTTGAGTTGTAGTTCTTTATTCTAGATGTTAATCCTTTATCAGATACATGCTTTGCAAATCTTTTCTCTCATTCGTGGGTTGCCTCATCACTCTTGTGTCCTTTGATGTACAATTTTTAACTTTGTAGTGCAGTTGATCTTTTTCTTTTGTTTCCTGTGCTTTGGGTGTCTTATCTAAGAAATCATGGCTAAATGCAAAGTCATGAAGCTTTTGCCCTGTCTTTTAAGAGTTTTATAGTTTTAGCCTTTATGTTTGGGTCTCTGATCCATTTTGAGTTTATTTTTCTGTGTAGTATAAGGTAAGGGCCCATCTTCATTCTTCTGCATGTGAATATCTAGTTTTCCCAACACCATTTGTTGAAGAGATTCCTTGCTCCATTGAATGGTCTTGGCGCCCTTGTCAAAAATCATTTGACCATCTATGACCATCTATGTTGACTTTGGTTTTATAGTGATGCTCTTATTATAGCAGTCTGATATGTATAATTTTTATTTAATGTTTCTGAACTTTGTTTAAAATGTTGGAGTTAGAAAAATATTGGAGTTAGAAGATGATAGGAAGTAATAGAATATGCATAGTTAGGCTTTAGAAGGATTCTGTAGAACTTTATGACTTTTAAAGTAGAAATAGTGAAGATTAAAATCTGTGAAGTTTTAAAATATTCCGTAAGACAACTGACGGACTCAAAAAAGCAAAATGGTGGCGATGGTGAGAAGGTCTAATTCCAGAAAAAGAGAGACGTATCAACCAATGGCAGTGCATGATCCTTAATTGGATCCTGGCCTATAAAACACATTTTGAATATAATTGGGAAGTTTTTAGTATGGTCTAGGTATTAGAGTACTAATTTTATTAGATGTGATAGTATTGTAGTTATGTGACCGAATATCCTTATTTTTATAGAGATATTTCCTGAACTATTTAGAGGTGAGGTATCATATCTGCAGTGTACATTGTTGAAATGGTTCAGCAAAAGATAGAAACAGCGTAATATTAACAGTTGTTGAATGTAAGTGATGGGTATATGGTGTTCCTTTTATTTGTCTTTGTTTTTCTGTATGTCTAATTTTTAAAGTAAAAACGTTTTTTTGTTGTTGTTTTTTAAATTTTATTTTATTATGTTAGTCACCATACAATACATCATCAGTTTTCGATGCAGCGATCCACGATCCATTGTTTTCTGTACAACACCCAGTGCTCCATGCAGCACCTGCCCTCCTTAATACCCATCACCGGGCTAACCGATCCCCCCACCCAAAGTAAAAAGGTTTTTAAAAGCTGTTTCCATTAAACTTTACAGTCACTTATCAGGGTCTGCTATTAGATAGCTCTAGCTAACCCATAAGTACCTTAAAATCAGTATACACCAACCAAACTATTATTTCCCAGTCTTCTGTTGTATTATGTACTTTCTTGTAGGGTTGTTTCCCCCTCTACCTTCACCTGCCATCTCCATTCCCAGGAGGCCTTTTTCTGTGTATCAACAGCTAAGTAATACCTCTGCCTTGTATACCATTGCGGTAAAACAACTGTTTCCATTTCCATATCCCCCAGTTGTTGCCAAGCTCCTTGAGTGGGGATCCCTTGTATCCAGTCTTAGAACTGAACTGTTGAACTGTATTTTCCTATGTTCACCTGAGTATTCCATTCTATTTGTTATGAGTGTTGGCTTTTTCAAAGTGAAGAATAATGGCTATTTTGATCCAGGCCTTGAATGTGGGGCCCAGAGTTATTCTAGAGCACCAATCAATTGAACAGATTAATTATTTGGGCATTTACTAGGTGCTAATTTCTATATTAGGTGATCACTAAATGAGGTTATACTTTGTCTTTTAAAGGTGGGAAGAAGAGCGCTATCCTGAAGGCATCAAGTGGAAATTCCTAGAACATAAAGGCCCTGTATTTGCTCCACCATATGAGCCTCTGCCAGAGAGTGTCAAGTTTTACTATGATGGTGAGTTGTTCCAAGGCTAATTCTTGGCCAAGAAAAGAGTCTGCTTCTATTTTAGGAATAGAAAATGAGGAAGGATCTTGTGCTATATAATCCTTTTTGTTTATTTCATTTTGTTTTGTCCTTGTGTGGTTTGGGGGAAGGGTCATCAGGTGTTTACTTAACTCTTAAAGGTCCATTTGGTGATGAAGAAGTGCCTTGAGAAGGAGGCTGTTAATGTCTTAACTACATGGTCCCAAAAATGTCCATCTACGTAGGTCACAGCATTGGTCCCCAAGTTAAATGTTTTGTTTTGTAGAATTTTTTTTTTTTTTAATTTATTCATTTGAGACAGAGAGAGAGAGAGAGAGTAGGAGCAGTAGGGAGAGGCAGAGGGAGAGGGAGAAGCAGACTCCCCGCCGAGCAGGGAGCCCGATGCGGGGCTCGATCCCAGGACCTGGAGATCATGACCTGA